CATCAACGCTCCATCCACCTGCAGCTGCGACCTCCCAGAACAGGGCCTGCTGCCGGCCTGTCGCGGCGACTGCTCCCTTTCTTCCACTCTTCCAGTTTGTGTTCTGTTGTATGACCGGAGTGTACCGTTTGTGTTGGGGATAATCCCAGAGAGTGGATTTCAGCTTGTATAAATATATACTGCATTATTCTGCTGCTTTATCAAGATGCATTGCTTTGCACACACCCTTCATAGAAAAACTGAAAGCTGCGTGCTACAGGTATTTGAGAAAAAAGAAACTTTTAATGCCTTAATATATATATAGATTTTTATCTCATCAGGTAGAGTATATAGGCATGTCTGTCCAGTACTGTAAGGTCTCATTATTAAGCTGCCCTCTTTGTTACTTTTTCCCCTACACCAATGCAGATAATACAGCTTATTCTTCTGTATTGCCCTTTATGCCAGACCATCCCAGAGCGCTGCACAGAATTAAAACAAGACAGCGTGTCTTTCTTAGAGCTAAGCTTTTTTCCAAAATTAATTTGCGCAGTACCGCAAGTTTTTCTGTCTGTGGGCTCTGTGATCAGTAAATCATGCAAAGAGCATCTTGGCTAAGGCTAGGAAGATTGATTACTAATGTTAGGAGGCCTACTGACCAGGCCTGGATGGTTTTGTGCAAGATGCACCCTCTTGATAACACTGTTGTCCCGGATACCCCTGGATTTACGCAAGAGCACTTCACAGCAGTTTCAAAAGTTAGGAGAAAAAAAGCCTTCCTCTCAGTGTGGGCATTCAGAACTATTGGAAACTTGTTTTGGATTCCCGTAAGTGATAATTAAACTGATGGATTTACGACTTGGAAACACTTGCGCCTGTGTGCTTGACATTATTAAGACTAGAAATGAAATGTTAACTTTAAGACCATTTGCCATAGAAACAGGTCTCCATGGTTTTTATAAAAAGGTTTTCTAATTAGTTTTCAATGGATGATTCCTGGCAGGAAAAGTCTTTTCTCCCATTACATGTTGGCATTCTTATCTGCATTGAATTGATCAACTCTTGTGCTTTCATGAAGAACCTGTTCACAAAATGCAGAATAATTGTAAATATGTTCATGTTTTACTACATTGCAGTGCCTGTGCATACTGCTGTCAGACTACCCTGTTCAGGGTTGATACCAACTAAATTAAGTTGGTAGACCTTTTTATAGTGGGCCTGTAGTTTTCAAAGAGGCATTATCTGTGTAAATGTTAAACCTAAGCTTCAGTTGCTTTTGAATTTCTGATTTTCATAACAGCAAGCAAAATGGCATTAAACTTACGAACTCTATCTTAATTAGTGTAAGCTTATGGGATGAGTGAGACATTCTTGCTGGCTGTTTCACTAAACGCACACATTCACATGAGCTAAGAGAAGACAACTATCTGTGGGGGTGTAATTATAAGCATATGTGCTAGATGTACTTAAGAGTTATTAAACCCATTGACTAGACCACGTCTGTATCTGGATTACAGGGATAGTCTATCTATTGATGGAGTAATTATATTCATCTTGGTTTTTCATTGTGTTTCCAAGAATTCTCTAATACTTGGTCATATTTTTTATTGCTCAAACCTGTGTACATAAAACTGTTTTTCAGGGCCCTGTTCTGCTGCACCTGGTTTTTCCTTGCCTGTTTTATAAGGCTTCGACATGTGCTGTATAGAAGCTGCACTAGTTAGAATATTCTGTCCAAGATGGTTTTCTGGTTTATTTTGTATCTGTAGGAAAGGAAATGTATTGTAAATTAGCTTGCCTGTCTTCATAGTTGTAATGAATGAACTTTGATTTTCTTGATCAGTTCAGAAAATTTGGTGATGTCCAATGGCTCAGATGGTTTAGAAAGTCGACCCTTTCATTAGAGGAACCGAAAGGCATTCCAAGTGTGTTTGTGACAATGTAAACCTGTTGCAGTGGGTTAACCTAAGTTTTAATTTTTTTTAATCTGTAACAAGTTGTGGGGAACTGTAAATGTTTCATGTCTTTCTGTCAACTTATTACACCAGATGCTAGCTGTACAGACAAGAAGGATTGCATCTCGAATAGGTGGACATCAGTCATTTTGACACAAGGATTCATAGAGACTCAAAAGCCTTTAAACTAAAATGGAAGGAGGGAAAATCATGGTAAGATGAGGTTTGATGTAGAATGGATACGGAATCAATAAAGAATGGATTCACAGAACAGATTTTATCCCAAAAGCCAGTAAATTAAAGGCTAGGGAGCAGTGGCCTAAATGTGTTTTAAGTGAATTGAGAGAAATACAGCACTTAAATGATTTTTTTAAAGTTAAATTTGGGGGTGGGGGGGGGTGGGTGAGAAAATAATGAATTAGAAGCACAGGTAAAAACAAAGATGCTGGCCTGGAAAGTGACTGAAGGTAATATTACAGTGGAGGCCAAATGGGAGTTGTTCACAAATGCATTCAGAATAATGAGCAATGTCTAGGTAATGAAAGGGAAATAGCTGATGTATTAAATTAATATTTTACTCAGGTGTTTGCTAAAGAAGAAGTCAAATACGTGCCTCTGGGCTGAGGAAGGACAAAGTTCTGTAACAGTTCTATAAATGTGGAAGAGGTGGAAGTGCTACAGATCGAGGCAGCACTTGAGATGAATCAGGACCTGATGGGGTTCTGTAAATTATACTGTACAAGTGATGCTATAAATAAAGCTCAGTGTGGATCATACAAGTCACTCATTACAGTGTCCATGATCAACTGTTAAAATGTTCCTTGAAGTCATCTTTCATGGCTTGTTGCAAGAGAAGATGAAGTCATACTGCAGATTATTCTTTGAAAGGAATCTCCTTATAGCTTTTTAGGGGATATAAAGCATAATTTATATGCTTTTTTTTCCTTATGGATTAGCAACTTGAGGGTGGGGATTTAATACAACATAAAATGTATGATCTCCTTCCTGTGCTTTGTTCCTTTTTGAATAAATGAAAAATTATCTCTGAATTGAAAAGTACTGCCAGCTCCAGTGTAGGAGCCTGCCAGCTGTCTCAACCAGAGCAGACAGGCTGAGCTCTGTGTTCCAGGCATTGTTGGTCCTGTCACTAGCTAACTGTGACTGGGATTCTCCAACCTGCCTACACTGTGAACAAACAGTTTGTGGTGCTGTCAATGTCCCCTCTCCAGTTGGTGCTGATCCTGCAGTACGGGACTATATTGTCTGTGCTGCATTAAAAGGGGAATGTTTCAGAACAGTCTATCAGGATCTCCTCTTTCTCTCCTGTGTCCATTTCCATGGGGTGGCTTTTGAAAAACACAATTGTCGATTCTAGAATAGGGAGGGCATAACAAAAATAAGAGGCAATTCAACATTTACAAAAATGTATTGATTTGGGTGTAAAGCTGGCTGTAGTAAATGATTGTATGACAGAAATCCTTATTGTGTGGATTATTTTTGTAACTGTGGGTGGCCACAGCTTGGATTAGGAACAAGGATCTTGTATATAATTATATGTAATTACTATTCAAACAAATTGGGATTTTTTTGTGCTTATGTATCCATTAACAACTACAACAAAAGGAAAACATTTGTCTGCTTTCAGCTGAATTGTGGTTTGGGATTGTGATGTAGTTCTCAGGGTTTCCTTAAAACTTCACAAATACAGTATGTACGGAGGGACTGAAATAAGGGAGCCACCCTTTTGCTCGATGAGTGATTATATGAAATGGATTCCCGACTACATAATTCCCAAGTTAACATTCTGGACCGTAGTTCTTGGTGTTAGTAGTGAAATAACAGTATTTATAAGTTAAAGCTGTATTTGGAATGAGTAAAGGAAATGAACACATTAAAGCTTCTGCAAAATTGTCTGGCCACCTCAGTGTTGTTTGTTTTGTTTGGACAGGGAGGAGTGATGAAAGAGGCGAAATATGTTAGTGTATTATAACAGGAGTTACCAGGGACTGCTACAACAAAACGTTTGAAAATCTTAAAATGATCAATCATTTTTTTACTTACCTCCATTAGTGGATGGACTTGAAGCAGCTCCGGAGAAAAGCTAGCAGCTTTTATAATTTGTCTACAATGTGAGAAATATCTGTGAAGGCCACCCCTTTGCACCACACCTTTCTGTACTGGTGTGCTTTCCATCTGTAACGTTACCCTTTGCTGGCGTTCCAGATTCATATTTGGAAGTGCAAATACTTTAGCTCTGTAACTGCATTTGTTTTTGGTCTGTCACACAGAAAATCTTCATCAAGTCAGGTCAAGGATTCGCATATAACCCATTCGAACATTAAATACACAAGTGCAAATAATTAGAGACAGAGGCCTGTGTGGTAAATGTTCTTATTTGGTTTACTGAATCATTTTAAATGTTTTTTCTTTTAACCTGTTAGCAATGATTTTAGACTGGAAGTAATATCACAGCATTAAATGGGGTGCACCACTTTTTTAGATTGTGGGTAGTTTTACCTTGAAAAAATAAATTTAATTTTAGACCTTGTTCTCCTTCAAGGAGTGGATTGAAAATTCATTCAGTGGTTGTTTTGCAATCTGAAAGGCCGAACTTTCAGTACAACTGAAAGTTTATATGATTTTTATTACTCTGGCCATGTCTCATTGTCAGCTGCTGTAAAAAAGGGACTCAGACTGTTGATATTAGTGTTAAGGCTTAAGAGATTATTTTTGTTCCGTTACAGAATATCCTAAAAAAAATAATGGACCTGTACCTGAACCATCCAAATTTATGATCACCATATGTAAAGTCTTTTAAAAAAAAAGTTGTGTTTTACACAAATTATTATTTTCACATGTGCTTTATTTTAACTAAGGATTGAGATGTGCCAAGCACAATATCACTAGATCTACTCTGAAAGTACCTTAATAGCCAATTATTTTCAGATTTTTGATCATCAGTAATTACTGCCATTAAACAGTTTCATAAATCTTTAAATCTGATGGGGAAGTGTGTTTTTGATTGAATTATCTTTGAGATTTTAAACAAAAATTGTTTTTTTGCAGCTGCCACAGAGGGAAAGGTCAATGGTGGGGAGGATTTCTTTCAGAAGGTAATGGTGATTTATTATTTTTATTATTTCTACTACTAGATGTAACCACGTTTGCATGTTCTGTTTTGGCAGAATGTTGGTCAGTTCCCTAAAGCATTGATGAGCAGGTTGTGGGTCTGGCACTCTAAAACAGCAAGCAAAGGAAAAAAAATTGGCCTCTACTTTGCTTTTTGAAAAAGCCAAAAAAAACTGAACTTGCCCTGTTTTTATTCCTTTCTCAGGCTTTGACAAAGGCTTTTAGGGAAAGCAATTGGAAGTCTAATTGGCAGAGTGTGGAAAAATACATAAACGCCTGTGAGCATGCAGCCCAGCCAGACAGATCATTTGTAACGAAGGGCAGGGAAAGACTCCACTTCTTGTATGAAATTAACTCCAGGTGACTGCTTGGAGACTATCAGCAAAGATTTTTCAACTTGAAAATAAGTATAATTTTTAAGAAAATATTTCAGTTTTACTGACCAACGTAACAGTTGTGGAGTCTTTGAAGGTGCTGGGTTTGATCTCCCTTTACATGTTATTGGATAATTCTGTTCAGGTGCTTTATTAACTGAAGTGAAGTGATACTGTGGATTTCATTAATAGAAATAAATCCCCTCCACAGAAAGGCATGTCCATTACATTTACACAGTGCCAGACGTACACTTATGTTTATCAGGAACGTCTTACTTAAAAGTAAAAGAAATATGCAACCTAGCCTTTTAAAATTACAAATGATCTGGCAGATCAATGTTAAGTGCCAAATTAAATAAATGGAGGATTTTTTCTAAATGTAGAAAAGTTAAGCCAAAACAAAGTACTTTATTTTAAAATCCCAGTAAAGCTTTTTCGGCTTGCTTCTCTTGTTATTCAAATCCAACAAAAGATATATGAGTCTTTAAAATAGCATAATTCTTAATCAAAATATAGGTCCCTTTTCCATTTGACTGTTTTTGCTGTAGAAATCCGTGACCTCTAGGGTGGACTTCAAAGTGATGCTAAGATCATTACAGTTCAATCATTTATCCTCTTAGCTGTTCTTAAATGTCTAAACTCTGCTAGGTAGATGCTGCAAAAGAGAAAGTCAGCAACCTGTGTTTTAGTTTAAGACCGGATTGTATCTGTTAAATTATTTCCAGATCTATTTAACCTGGGTTGTGAAGTGATGGGAATTAATTGTTCTTCACTGTGTTATTCACTCAGTATTGTCTTGTGTTGGTGGCATTTTACAAAGCATTGCAATTATTACAGTTGGTGTTACACTGAAAAAAGTCTTTCCTTTCTGAAAGAAAATGACATGGTTTTAAAAAGTAAATATTTTTTTTGTATATACAGTATATATATCATATATATCATTAAGCAATGAAAATCTGGTAAAGTCACCTCTTAAATCAGACAGACTGGATTTCCCATCCTGAATAATTAAACTCACTGTTTTTTTAGTAATCTTTTGAGGACACGACCCCCTTCTTCTTGAGAAGTCCTATTGTTGTGATTAATATGGAATTATTTTCCAGATTGTTTTTGGTCGCATTCCTGAAGACTTTCAGTTTAATTTAACTAAGCGCTGAAATGCAGATAAATCCTGTCACAGTCAACAAAAACTATTGCACATTCATAAATATGTAATTTTTTAGACTTGTCTTAAATAGTTGTGGCTTATCCTTTCTGGATGTTAATATGCCTGACAGTTTCAAAATGTGAAGATTTTCCTCCCTTTTTCTAACCACTTTCTTAATGCCCCTAGTTTATTTTGCAGCTCAGAAGAATTGCTTATTATAAACTTTTGAAACGAAAGTATTCATAACAAAAACTTCATTTGCAACAGGAGAGAAGAAATTAAAAGCACATGTAGGAAAACTTATTGCTTCACTAGTGAGTGTGTTTGAGCTTGATAAAACAAAGATGGCCTCAAAATGCAGCTTTGGCCTCCTCTTTGTAGATTCTTTGGATTTTATTATTTAATTGAAATGCAAGGACTGTGTGGTAGATAATGCATGAGATATTAAGGTTTAAAAAAGGTCTGGCTTTTAACATTTATATTTGGCACTTCTTATTCTTTCTAAGAAATAAAATATTAACAAGAAAGCAACACAGACATTTTTTGCAGATAAAAGACTACTATCAAGAATGCATTAGCTCTTTGAAAAGTTATAATATAATGCAACTGGAACTGATGTGGGGCAGCGCTCTGACATTTTGCATAATTCCGTGAGCATTTTTTTCTATCGTTTACAATGGAAGAAAAGCTTAATGCCCTTATTTTTCAGAGCCACAAAATAATGGATAAGCACAGGAAACTACAGGGAATCTGAAAAGCTTAAAATGGCAGTGACTGGAGCAATGCTGCTTAATGTTCAAAAGTAGGATCACTGCTAAACTCCAGGGCATTGAGTTTCAGGGGTCATGCGGTACTATCTGCCTTGTAGAACATTGTACAGTGAATTCTGTATTCTGAAACAAAGAGTACTTGAAGAAAAATTATTGTATCTCAGCTGTTTTACTGGGAAAGCTAAAAGGGGAAAATAGATTTTTTTTGGTATATCTGCTGACCTGTGTGCCATAATGCAAAGCCTATTGGCTTTCATTTATGCCATACATCAGCAATGTTGGGTCTTGTAATAATGTGAAATTAATTTGAATGTGTACAGTAGGGGTTACTGTATGTCTGTTTTTTACCATCAATATCACTGTAACCTACTAAAGGTTTTTCAGACTTAAACCTCTATGAAATGCAAGACTCAGACAAGCTTTGGAAGTAGTGTCCAGTCTTGATTACCTTTCTGATTTGGCCTTCCCTCCTAAGGCTTTACAAAGCCTCCTTGTTATCATTGACAGTAAGCTTTTATAACCTGTCTTTCTTGGCTGTATTAAATTATGTCGTTCTTCAAGGTTTCATGAAGTATTAGTCACTTAATATTACTCAGTGTAGATGGGGAAGGTTAAAGCACTTATTTTACAGTCATTAGGATGTAGATCCTATAAGAACATAAATGGTACAAGCATGAGAAGGCCATGTGTTGCACCTCACTTGTTTGGTTGCAGGCATTTCGTGAAGGAAACTGGGGTATTGGCTTCAACAATATGGCTGGGTTACTTGTTTCAGACTCCCACAACCCCCTGTGCCACCAGTTCTCAGTTTCTCATAATTTCTATAAGTGCCCTGGTTCGTTTTTCATGGTGTGTTCTGAAAAAGTCCAATTTTCAAGTGTTGACTTGGGCGAGACCTTTTGAGGGTTTTGGTTGCTTCAATCAGGCCTCTTCCTAGTTTGTTCATAGACAGTTCAGCTAGATTCAGTTCTTTTAGCCTGCCAGTGTAAGACATTCCTTTGAGCCCAGGAATGTATGTGGTGCTCTTCTCTGGACTTATTCCACAGTAGCAATATCTTTTTTGCAACACGGTGACCACGATTTTAGACAGTGTTCTCAATGATGTATCTAGAGTATTATGCAGTTTTAATATAAAATCCAATTTTTTTAATTATTTTTTTCTAACTGTATATCTGAACATTCCATTTGCCATTTTTTATTGGTACCCCATTCTGTTTAGGGCTTGTCTATGTCTAGGTTGTTTTTTTGGTCCTGGACTATCTTGTAGAATTATAAAAATTACAGTTTAAAGAAAAGAATTCAGCAAATGGAACTCTGTTGGTCTGTCAAGATCTTCTGTTTTCACCATGAGCGGGAGCATGACTTTTTGTTTACTTGTGTCAAAGACAAATGTGTCTGCCCCACCTTTGATGCGGCAGGCACAGTTAGAAAGAAGTATGGGGTCGAGAAGCATCATGAAACAAAGCAAAAAGATCTGAGAAGAATTTTCCTGCAGGCAGTAGGTTCTTCTCTTCTGCTTGAACTGAGCTGAAGATAGCATTTTACACACGCCAATCAATTTTTACTCAAGCTCATGCTACAGCTGAGATGTCTTTTAAATCTGCTCTTTTTGTAGTCAAAAAAGGCTTGAGATGGTAAGTATGTGATGACTCTTAAGGCCGATTGGTACAGCTGAAAGATTTAAAAACAAGAACTTGTCTGCCATCTCCACTGGGCAGTGGCATCTGAAGGGTCGTGGGTGAACACTAATCCCTGTCAAACTAAGTTCTTGTGATCGGTTCTCCATTCAGTGTGACAAATGGTCTTTAAAAGTCACAAGCAGGCTTTGCCCAAATATCCAACAACTGGTTCTGTGAATTTAAACATCTATGGGGCCTTGTGTGGGGACAATTTGAAAATGGATGTTGTTTTTGAATGAAGTTACTGACATTGCATACTTTCTAAAACGCATGTCATTTTATGTGCAGTTTCATCTCGAAATAATACAAGTTGCAGCATTTTGTAATAATTGCTAACATCTGTATAGCACATTTCATCTCTGAATCCTGAAGTGCTTTGTATATAGCATTGATGTGCAAAACCATACCTGGTTAATGTACCAGCAATCCCATGTCCACAGGATATCAAGAGTGGAAGTGAGAAATGGCTTCAGCAGTTGAAAGAAGGTTAATAACCCTCTGCTGTTATGACCAGTTCCGTGGGGTCGTTTCTGACCAGGTAGTCCAGACCTCAGTTTAACATCCCATTTGAAGGATGCCATCTCCTCCAGTGCAGTTTCCACAAACGCCACATACTGGGTTTGGAGATTGTGGACCAGAGGGAAGAGCTCCAGACAGTAGTGATTTATCAGCAACACTTCTCTAAATGTTCCTAAGTGAAACTGGGCTTCTGCTGGGTTTCCCATTCTAGTTCTATCCAGGCTCAGCCAGGCTTTCCTTCTGCAATCTGGTCAGATCAGGCTTCAAGTTGGTAACACACATGGACCAGTCATTGTTAGGGAAGAGGTCTGAGCAAGAGAACGCTGCGAGCCAACTTGACTCACTCTAAATATGCCATGGCTAGATGCTCTTGCCTTTGATTATAATGACCATGTGTTTTCTGTTCAGTGATAGAATAAAAAATCCGCCAAGGAGCTGCATATGGAAGTTCGTCCTTGTGTTTCTGGATATTGTTTCCCTGTTTTGTAGATAAGT